CTCCCCATGGTGCCCGCGGTGCCCATCCTCTGTCCTTCCTCCGCAGGTACAAGGGCTTTATCAAGGACTGCCCCAGCGGGCAGCTGGATGCCGCGGGCTTCCAGAAGATCTATAAGCAGTTCTTCCCCTTTGGTGACCCAACCAAATTCGCCACCTTTGTTTTCAATGTCTTTGATGAGAACAAGGTAAGTCTGCGAGCCGGGGGCACGGTGTGAGGGGGGGTCAGGGTGGTGCTGGTGGGATGGGCTTGGAGTGCAGCTGCGCGGCACCGGAGGAGGACAACATTCCATCGTTCCTACCTCCCCACGGCCTTTTGGGATGTGCCCCCCAGACATGGGCAGGGAGGGCTTTGCCGGGCAGGGGTGGCAGCGGCACCCTCATCCCTCCTTCCCTCTGCCAGGACGGGAGGATCGAGTTTTCCGAGTTCATCCAGGCGCTGTCGGTCACCTCCCGGGGGACGCTGGACGAGAAGCTGAGGTGTAAGTGCTCCCCATGGGACACTGGTGGGCTCAGCCCCGTGAGGGGGGTGGCATGGGGACAGTCCATGGCGGGGTGTGTGTGCCGGGGGGGAGCACAGGCCCCAGCACCTCGGTGTTGCTCTGCCTTGCAGGGGCGTTTAAGCTGTATGACTTGGACAACGACGGGTACATCACGAGGAACGAGATGCTGGACATTGTGGATGCCATTTATCAGATGGTGGTAAGTGGCAAAGGGTGAGGGGGTTCTGGGGAGGACGCTGAAACATCCCTGATTCCCTCCCTTGTCTTTTTTGGTGGGGGTTTGTAGCCAGGGTTTGGATCTGGCCCCTGAGGTTGGCCAGTGACAGCCCTTTGTGCCCTGTCCTGATGTGGGGAATGCTGGGGAGCAAAGCACATGTCCTTGCCTGGGGACACCATCCAGGCAGGACACAGATGGGTGCGTGACCAGCTCCCATCCTGCTGCCACAGGGAAACACAGTGGAGCTTCCTGAGGAGGAGAACACACCGGAGAAGAGGGTGGACAGGATTTTTGCCATGATGGACAAGGTGAGGATGCTCAAGTGGTTTTTACCCTGGGGTCAAGGGATTTAGGAAGCAGTTGTGGCCCCCTTGCCATGTCTCAGCTTTTGCAGGTGCCTCCTTTCCTCAGCCATACAAGGTCTCAGCTGTCCCTGGGCTTGCTGCATGCCTCTGCATCCCTCTGGGATCCCTGTATCTGGGATATCAAGGTCCCCAAGGTGGCATTGCACCCTCTGTTGCGCTCCTCCCTGGCTGCAGGCATGGGTGGCTTGATGGGGAGACTGAAGCTGTGTGTGTGTGGGGGACCTGGGCAGCTGCGCGGTCCATGGTGTGGTGCCAGGGCCCTGGGGTGCTCGGTCCCAGGGTGTTTGGTCCTGGGGTGCTCAGCATCTCCCTTGCCAGGGCAAAGTGATGCTGAACAGGAGTGTTTTGCAGAACGCGGACGGGAAGCTGACGCTGCAGGAGTTTCAGGAGGGCTCCAAGGCTGACCCCTCCATCGTGCAGGCGCTTTCCCTCTACGATGGGCTCGTATAGTCCCGGGGCCAAGCGGCGGTGAGTGTGGTGCTGGGGGGCCCGGGGGTGCCCCATCTCCCACCTGCTTTGATGCCATTCCTGCCTTTCCCAGGGGTGTGTGGCTGGTTCTTCTCTGCCAAAGCATCAAAGCATGGACATCCCCCCTAGATCTAGTGGAGGGAGATGTTCCTACCCCACACTGATGTGTTTCTTCCAGTCTCCCCATCCCCTGGAGCACTCCTGGACTACAGCCCATGAGGATGCCGTAGAGTCACCCAGCTGGCAGGCATTCGCCTGCGGCACAGCTCAGCTCTTCCCTGCAGACGTGGCTGCAGAGGAGGCAGCTGGTGTTCTGAGGGCATGGGGATGCTCCGGAGAGAGATTATATTAAATGTTTTATTTATACTATATCTCATTATATTGCACCCTGGAGCTGGCAGGGTTTGGCAGGGTGGCAGGCTGGCAGGGATGTGGTGGTTTGCTGAGCACCCTGTGGTCCTCACCATGCCACATGGGGCCGTGCAGATGGGATGATTTTGGTCATCACAGTCCAGGCAGTGTCCAACCATGGGTGGTGATGGGGGTTTTTTAACCCCACTGGAGTTCTGAGCTATTCAAAACCATTATTGTGCTTCCAGCTTTGCCCTTCCAGCTGCGCCGGTGGTGTGTGTGGTGGCCGCAGGGCTTTCTGCCCATGTTCTCACCTGGTTTTCCTCCTCCCC